GGAGAGAGACCGGGTAGCTGGCGCGTCTGTTTGCAAGTGAACTTGCGCCCATCTCGCACTAGTGTCACCGGCAAATTAAGAATACCGCCGGCAGGAGGGAGCCCAGGTAGCTGTTTGCAAGTCAGACTTTAAACCCTGGGATTTTCAATAGACAGAAGCAAATCTAATATCCGATAATAGGCATTGTAGTGTGCGTGATTGGTGTGTGCAATAAAAGTTTTCCTCTTACTCGCTTTTCTTGTACAAAGGTATCTGTTGGACGTGCATTGATATAAGCTTGCCCCGGGGCTAATTAGTTTTGCTATTTCTCGTCAAAGTAACCATGTCTGCTTTCAATTCATTCCAAGAATACTTCACTTTCTTTACTCTAGGGCCGTCGTCCGTTTCCCGAGTATGTGACTTATTGGTTGATTCTATCAAACAAACAGGAGCCCAGAAGTATTCGCTACACAGATTGGAATTGGTATTTTGTAGACGGAAGACTTAATATTCGTAAAGTTTTTTTCGATAACAGGTGCACCCCAGTAAATAATCCGTAAAGATATCAAATATTTAGATTTGAAGTTGCTTCGGGATTTGGAAGGAAACTAAGCTGAACAAAACAGAATTAATCGATTAGTTTCTTTACTGGGGGGTTAAGAAGTCCGTAATTTGATGGCAAGAAATATTGGTGTTTCGTATATAACAAATAGATGCAAAGTTAACAATCGATAAAACTGATACTGTTTACATGAGAAGGATAAGCGAAAATAAAGACCAGCAACACTAAGGAATAGAAGGGAATGTATATGACTTCTCTATGATTTCATCAGATTGAGGGTCTAAGAAATTGTATTCTTTTTGTACTCTGTCTAGATCAAAGAGTGCCATCCTTATGCGACCCGAAACACTTATAACGGCGCCGAAATGGACAATCCATCTGTACTGTTTGAAAGCTTTAAAGTCTTGGCAGCGCTAACGGTGGCTTTCATTGACAATTTCGAGACCAATTGTCAAATAACTATGTGTCTTATTACTTTTCCGTGAGAACTAACAATCAATAGAACTGATACTGGTTAGGTAAGAGGCATTGACAGAAATAAATTAGGGCAGCTGAATATAAAACTAAGGAATCTAAGTGAATGTATATGACTTATCTATGATATCACCAGATTGAGGGTCTAAGAAATAGTGCTCTTTTTTTACTCTGTCTAGATCAAAGAGTGCCATTCTTATACGACCCGAAACACTTCCGATAGCGCCTAAATGGACAATCCAATTTATTTTTCGCAATGCTTCAAAGTCTAAAGATTCATTAGGGTAAAGGATGTCCGTCCTTAGTTTTCACGAGTGATTTCAAATAACTACAGATTCTATAATTTTTCTGTGAAAAATTACACAGGCCATAACAAGAAGTTGGGCGCTTAATTACTTAGTAGGAAACAGAGGGGATGAAGAGTGGTCAGCCATCGGAGATAGGTAAAAAAACAGCAATTAAGGCGATACCCATCATTTATTGTTGATTATATTGTACGTCCAAGATATGAGTAAAGTTGTGACATCAAACAACATTTGGGGCAGGTAGCAAAAAGTGAGCGAATAGGTGCTGTTCCTGGACATAACGCTTTCGAAACCTTAATATGATGAACAAGTTTTCACGAGTCGTCTCAGCGATGTCAATTAGCCGTAACAGAGACCCCAAAATACACAGGAGAGTTGGCAAGCGTAACACACAAAGATTTCAGGTTGTATTAAAAAGCAGCTAAAAATCGAACACGTGGTTACTCGCACTAAATTCTGATTTTTGCTAACTTACAACGAAATTTCGTGTGTAAATTAAAGAATTAGATCGAGCTACTCGCAACCCATTGGAAACGCTCTACTTAAAGCTGCGCAAATTAGGTTCCTAACTATGCAATAACATTTTCGTGTAAAGTTGCCAGCAACGGTTGCCCAAAGTTGATGGCATGGCTGCCCAGTGGCAAGAGCCTAAAGCAGCCGATTAAAGTCTGCACTGCTGTTAAACGCCGGATTTTCGCTGCAGTTGCTCTGTGGTTGCTCGGCCTCCCTATATGGATTGTGGATCTCAGTGCTTGAATAATGACTGTAGTATTCACCGAAGCACACTCTACGTCCGTTTGCATATGCGAGTCATGATTTATGCTTTGTGTACTTACTGAGGTCGATATAAAAAGCACCAAGGTCTCCTCCACTACCAACGTCCCTAGATAAGGACTTACACTGTTAATTTCGAATCGAACTTTTCATAAAATCAATCCTGCTAACAGATGAAAGAAACATCATGAGTCCTTCTAGGTCACCAAAAATAGTGACGGTGTTAATAGCCAGGCGCGGGTACCGAAAGTTGCATGCAGTCTTTTGTCTCATGTTTCATCGGTAGGCGGTAGGGAACGGATCTGTGGGAACCCCTTCTTTGCAGCCACAGGACATATGGGAGTTTCAGGTAAGAAGAATCCCCCGCCAAAGCAAGGGCATTCCCGTGAACGGTACAAATCACTATTCATAAAAGGCGTCGTATTTCTTCTTGAAACCGACAACCATGTCGGCAGCAACAATATCGGGGGGCGGATTTTGTTCCATGTATTCACAGCGCGCTTTGAGAGTCGATAGATGTGCAGGAGATAATTTGTCCGTTGTACCACCAGCTTGAAGCAATGTCCGCGCGTAGGCATACCAACGGCCGGTTTGAAGTACTGAGCGACCTCCGGGATGTCACCGCAAACGATCACTTTGTAAATCATGATTTGGTCGCCTCTGGAGCGTCGAAATTCGTAGGTAAACAGGTTGAGTGCTTTACAGCGCTCTGGATATGTCAGCCTTCTTACTTCGGGCACCATTCTTGACCCCAGCTATTGTACATATTCGATATCTTCTCACCCTTCGTACAGGGAACCAAGCGGACGTTCCTTACTCCATGACCGGGCGGATGAACGTGACCATAAGCTTACGGAATATCTGCATGGAGCAGGATGTGAATGCTCTTTTGAATATCCAAAGTAATGTCAGGCCCTTGTGTCTCGCCAAAGTTGGTTGTTCTCGGGTTTTGAGGTCGTCCTGGATGATAACGCCCAAGTCACGAGTACTCCTAACAGCGGCCAGTGTCATGTCGCCCATTGTAAAGGGTGGGTGACCCCGCTTTCTCCCAATCATCAGCAAGTGTAAAT